AATAAATTTACCTATTTTAAATATTTTATGCAAATAAAAAATCTAAATAATAATAATAATATCATATAATATGATGTGTGCATAATTTTTTGTATAACTATTATAAATTTATACAATATAGTTTATGCACAGAGCAATCGAAAATAAGTGAAAACCTGTATCGATTTTCTTTTCTTCACGCGCACACACACATTATTTGTATTATAATATAGTCGTGTGAGAAAAAAATATAAATTCATAAAATCGATTTTCGTCTTTACACTGAATTCAAGGTTTTATCTTTTAGTGTTTCTTACTCTGTATCATCCCATCAAAATATTTTCATTTTTCCCAGGGTCGATTCATATGTAAAAAAAATAAAATAAAAAAATGTACTACTTTTTATTTGTTCAATAATTCTAGTACCCGTGGGATCGTATTGGAATATTCCAGGACACAGACGCGTCCCGAGTATGGTCTCGAAGGTCTCTACACAAACGAATATGAATGATTAGCATTGGGAAAATGCACAAACCCTTATGACCCGAACAGAAAAAAAATCGTTATTCACGTGTCAAGAGGTCTCTGGTGCAGAATATGGAATGACATCCGAATATTTGACTTTTCACCACTGATTCACACTACTTATATATTGTCGGAATTGATCATATTGTACATGTATAAAGTGATCGTAATTATATTATTTCTGATATGTATATTAAAGAGGTAAGTAAGTGAGTATCGATCTGTTCTACGTTAGGTATCGAGTGGATTACTATTATAGATTTGTTAAACTTGAATTCAACGATAAATCATTTTAGGTATACGAAAAACAATTCTGAGCAGAAAAAGTCTATCAGTCCCATATCACCAATAATGATATATTTATTTGATATAACTATTAAAATAATTTTATTTTACTTTTAGTATTATAGTAGGTTGATATAATTTTTTCAAAAAATAAGCATTTATTAAACGATTAGTATTTGATTATGATGATATATATTTATATCATAATATTATATCAACTTATATAAGTCAACTATAAAACTCAAAATGTAATAACATCTTACTGCAAATACCATAAAATGGCAACAATAGATTCATAGTACTTATAAATAGATGATATTTTAAAATAGATTAAAAATTTTATTGCGTAAAGTAAAATCCATAATAGTATAAGATACATAAAAGTTTAAGTTTCCACTAATAATATTTTTAAATTACAACAAAATAAATAACATATTGTTATTTATCATTTAAATAAGTTATTTTCTATAAATTATATTTGAATATCAATAAACAGTAGTTGTTCTTATATATTTTTTAGAATTTATATCCCAGTATGAACTAATTAAGAAAATCTAGTACTAAATTTTCAAAAGAAAAGTTTTTATGATTTTTTAGCTATTGAATAATTTCTATTTTTTTTTCGATTTTGACGAATTTTGTCAAAATTCTAACTTCAATTGTATATAAAAAAAATATATGCCAATGTATTTTTAATAATATTACAATATATAGATACAATAATATATTTTTTGGAATCGTGTATTAAATCACTATATCCAGAACTTAACAATGAATGACACAGTGTCTATTCAATTTCTGTTTCATAGCAAACTCTTTTTATAAAATTTCATTCTTTTGAATTATCTTTTTAGTTAAACTGACGTTTAGGCATTTCAATATTATTAGAGCAGGTAGGTACTAACATTAATATAAAAATATAAACGTCACAGCACTAGTTAGACCTCGTAAGCATACTAACTAACTACTAAGTATTTTACTGATACTGAATTAAATTGTGTTAATGCTTATCAATATTTTTCACCTATTGTGAAATTAGTATCTATGATTGGATATAATCTAAAAATAGATCAGTTTCATGTACAAAAAAAGCTAATTAACAAAATGATCCTGAATAATTTAATCTAACCATAATAATTCATGTAAATATAACGAAAATAAATAAAGATTAAAATTCAAGGTAATATACATAAATATGGTTTTCAAAATATGTAATATCTTTGTAATCTAATTTATTTAATTTCAGCCTCCAGGGCAAATTGAAGTCCTAATTAATATTTTTGGGACACCAGGATAAACTTAAAAACTAGGGCAATACCCGAAAACCGGAACGTCAGGACACCCTCCTACAATAAAATACAAAACGTAATAATCATTAATATTTCATATTTTGATACATTGCACATCAAATTAAAAACTAATTTGAATATAATATAAAGGTAATTTATACTGGTATTATAGTCGTATTATAGTGGTATGAAATATCATCTTGAATACAATTCGTATACCATCTGAAAACAAAGTTCTGATAAAATAAAAGTCTATCTTGTAAAAATATATTAATAGAGACGGTCTCAAGTTGAGATCAGCGAATTTCGCGCTTTTGTATAATATTTTGGGCCTTGTATAAATGAAATTATACATTATTCTATACTTTAATTTTTCGGTGAAATAAAAAAAAATATATATAATTTAAATGTAGTGGACAGATGTTAGACACAGTTAATATAATATTAACAGCAATATCATTATGATATAATTTATAGTATACACATTTTTAGTAAAAAAAAAAAAGTAGGAGTTAAACCAGTAAATATAATATGATAGATTTGAGTATGTAAAATATACAATATTACACCACGTTCTCCTAGTAAATACCATAAAACATTTAAAATAATAGTATATTTTATTGTATCCATATCATATATTATAATAACTATTAAGATAACATCAAAATTAAAATTTAGATACCGCTAGTCGGATATTTAATATAAAGTTTGGATATTATATTAATTATATATAACGTTAACTCTATAAATTCTTCATAGATACATTATTAAACATACTATAACATTAAATTTTTACCATTAGAGTTTACCATTAAAGATGTTAGAGCTTACACTTGTTTGAAAAATATCTGTTTTTTTCTATTAAATAAATAAAATGATTATATTTTATGCGTCATTAAACCATGAACAAATTATTTATTTTATCGTTTTCAGTAAAAAGCAAAGAGTTAATGCAACGATTAAATTATTACTAGTAGTCGAAAATAATATTTAAAAAAATACAGTTGGCAACTTTATCGGCATAATAAATTCTGAATTAATAACATTGCTATAGTATGTAAAAGAATAGTAAAAAATAAATGAATTAAGTACAATAGACATGAACGTTGAGATTTTATTATTGGTAGAGCATAATTTGGAAAAAAAACTAGAAGAGGGACTCAGCGGATGTTTGATGAACGAGCGTTCACGTAAAAATTAACTGTCACATTACCGTGGGGGAAAAGCCCCCCACATTCCCCTACAACCACCCATAATCCCCAAAAATCATTGAATTATTATACAACAATATTTTAAAAGAAAAAAACACTTATTTATTAATTATTTTTTTTTTAAAACATTAAATTTTAAATTATTAATTAATTATTCTACGAAAATATGAAAAAAAAACTTAAACTACGTATTAAATAAAGTCTATAAATCATAAATGTTTATATGAATTATCTTCATTTTTATTAAATCGTTTGGCAAAGTTTACTTCGTCTAAATATCTTTTGCCACTTTTAATTCAGCTCTCAAAGTCTCAACATAATTATCTGGTTTGAACAATTGAATGGAGGTCCGATACAGTTAAGAAAAACTAATAAAAATATATGCACTGTAGTCAAAGCATTTCTTTTTGATGTGACAATATTGTTCATCGCACTGAATAATGTCTCACATTCAGAGAAAGAAATTGCAATTTTTCTGACCGCAGTCAAAAGAGGATGTCGATAGTTTATTGGTGAGGAATCTTTAATTAATTCATAAAATAAACTTACCTTAATAATGAGTTAATAAACGATTTAAGGTTTTTCAATTTCATACTAAAATCTTGAGTGCAGTGACAGTTAATTTTTTCACCGGCCGTCAATCAACGACGACATGGATAATAATAGAATTCTATTATCTTCTATTATCTATGAACGTCGTTTTCACTACCTATCCAATTACATTATAATTTATACTACAATTTATAAAGATTCAATTTATAAAATGTATCTATGGCATAATAAAAATTATTGTGGCTATAAATTATAGGTATATTTTGAATCAGAAAAGCTGATGATTTACAAATTCACTACAGCAAATGTTGCGTTCCCAGTAGTCCGTTTTCAATAAATAGAAGGGGTACGCTAAAAAAAAAAATAAAAAAGAAGGAGGACTTCGTCCCCCCACATCTTCCCTTAAATCAAGCACTGATTATTGGTCATCTATGTACCTAACATCTAACCTAGAATAAGAATTCATTTTTTCAGCGTATATCATTAAAAATGTGTTTCGCCGTGATCTTAATATATTTTTATTGTGTGAATGAATACTTTGTTTTGTTTTTTATAAGTGTCTTACAAAAATTATAATATGTTAAACTCGATAGATATTTTAGAAATAGAGTTACCCTAAAAATAATAGCATGAACGTACCTATTAAAATAACGAGCGAACTCAAGCAAAAATGCTGGTTATAATTCATGATTATATCATACATTAACATAAAAATTTACATTTCACTCATTCAATATTAACTAATTTTGAAAATGAGAACTATTTTTGTAATAATTTTGATTTGAACATTAATTATTACAGCTTCACTCAATTGTATATTGTCTAATTTATAAATACTGTGTATCTAACATATTAAACGTAGTGGCTACACAAGATGTATTATAAGTCTGGTAAAATAAAAAAGTTTTAAACCTATTTTATTATTATAAATAATAATTATAGGCAATTTATTCTTTGTTTATAGAAAATAACTATTAACGTAAAAATGTATGTTGTATTATTAGATTTTTAGATTTTTTAAATCATTCAATTTCCTTTAATTTTTTTTAAAATATAAAAAACATTACAACCTTATAATATGTTATAAGAGTGGTGTCTCTTATGATTCCTGCATATAATGTGTGAATCACACGTAGGTAGGAAAAAAAAAACAAAAGACTTGGATACATAGCAAATATAATAGATAGAAATTTGATGATAAGTGAACAAAAAAAAATTATATATTAGCAAAGTAATATTGTAGGTGTCTACCAACGTAACAATACTTTATAGTTGTTTAGACATCAAGAATTACATTATATTTAATCAATTAACAATGTGTGTGCTGACATTTTAAAGAACTAAAACTTTGCGCGCTAACAATTATAATAATATTGTAATGACCGTTCGAACGACATGTAAGGTTAAGACTTTGGCACGGAATGACCACAACGTGTTTTCTGTTATTCCGTATCGATAAACATGTACGACAATACGTATAACAACTACGAAATTATTACAATTATTAATAATCGAATAATAATTATTACTCGGAACTAAATACTAACGATGAATAAAATCTAAAATAAAATAATCACGAAAAATTGCAACATATTATTTTGACGACGTGGTGATGACTTAATAATAATACTATCACACGGCGACGATGTGACGTTAGGTTAGGCATACAATAATAATACAAACAGACAGGAAATCGTACGCGTTTAAGGTTAAAAAATAGGTAGTTATACGATTCGACACGATTAACTCTATAGGTAGCGATACTTATGGCGACTGACGGTCAGATCAGCCGAGCCGTTCTAAGATCGTCGAGTACATGTTGTCGACGGAAGACAGATATTTTTGGACGTCGTTTCCGTTCAACGCCACCAGACTTCCGTTGTTGGTGAGCTTGTCGTAGGTACCGTAGTTGACCGGCCCGTTGTTGACCGTGCCCACGTTTATGATACCGCTGTCGGCGGTGCTCCCCTCGATATTGCCCGTGTTGATCGTCCCGTTGTTGATGTCGTACTCGACCATGTTACCGTTGTTTAGTGTACCATTGGCCACGTAGCCTTTTCGCACACTCGCGTCGTCCTGCGAACCTGCGATCACGACGTCCGAGTTGGATTCCGCGTGGCCGTTTTCCGCGGCGTTTTTCACCGTCGTCTCGTTGTTCTTCCCGACGTCCGAACCGCTCGGGGCGGATTTCCGGTCGAAGTCTTCGGGCCGTCGCCAACGGTCACCACGGTCACCGGACACGCCGTCAGCAGTCGGGGGAGGTCGCCCGGCGGAAGTCTGGCGACCGTCGGCGGTCGAGACGGGTTTGACGGTTGTGGCGGTCTCGTTGCCGGTCGACGTACCGCTGACAGCACCGTCGACGTACCGGCGGTCCGGTGAACGGTTTTCGGCCGGGTCATCGGTGCCCAAAGTGACGACGACACCGTCGGAGGTCGGCGGCGCTTTGATGGAGGCAATGTTGACGGTGTCGTTGTTGACGTTATAGTTTTCGACCTCGTTGTAGTTGACGGTGACGTCGTTGTTGACGACCGGTGGAACCGCGGACCGAGTATCGACGCTGCCGCCACCATCGACCTCTTCGAAATAGCATTCGACCGCCGCCGCCACCGCCACCGCTCCGATGTCGATCTGACACAGTTCCTTGTTGTCCTCCACTATGGTGGTCACTGATTCGTACACTTTGGACGAGTCGTCGGACTGCGTGACCGCCTCGTACTCGTAAACGTCCTCGTGGTACTCGTCCGTGTACTTGGTGATCACCTCGGTGATCTTGGTGATCACCGTGCGCACCGACAACTTCCCGTCGCCGAGCGGTTCTCGGACCGAGTAGAGCACCAACAGCTGGTCGACGGCCACGCACTTGAGCCCGTCGTGGCACACTTGCTTGAGCAGCGCCAGTTCTTCGTCCGACAAATTTTCCAGCGATTTGTCGATCGCGACGTCGTTCAACCCCTGCGGCGCGTTGATCGTCAACGACCGTTTCTTGATCTCCGTCCAAATGCTCGAGCTCTGTATGGCCATCACGTACTTCAAGTTGGACGATCGGTCGTCCGTGGCCAAGATCTGTCCCGTCTCTTCGTATTGGCTTTCGATTTGGTTTTCTTCGACGAGCGTCATCTGCAACGCCGGTGACGGTTCGATCGAACGACCGAGCACCGCGGTGGTCGCGGCCAACGCCGACGCTAACATGAACGCGAACAACATTTTCGGTGTTTTGAATATAAAAGATTATCGAAATAGGTAAGTAGGTACGTGTGGTTGGGTACCTACTGACGGGAAGTTAAGAAATGTATAAAAGTTATCTGTTAGTATTAATCGAGTTAGTAACGTCGTTTAAAGCGTTATGTCATACATCTGTTCAAATGTAGTAAGTTTGCACAGTTGATCTCAAAACTTGCCAAATAAATAGTGTTTTTATTTTTTGTTATTTTTTTGAAACTGTTAAAGGTATCGTATAAGGCATTATTGTAACAATAACCTATACAATAATATTACTCAAAATTTGAACCATTTTTAACGATATATATATATATATTTATATATATATATAAGAAATCGTAATATATATATATTACGATTGCTTGACACCAGAATTATAGTAAATCGGTTTGTAATGGCGTAGGTTAAGTGTAGAACTCAATACATATTTTTTAGTATGTAGGATTTTTAAATCTACTGATTTAAACGATTTTTTTTTTTTAATCTAAACTTTTTAATGTGCTAAACTAGGTTAAACATTTTTTTTTTTATAAATTACTTTTAATCTTTCAAGTTAGTTTTTTATATGTGTAGTATGTACGATGTTTTAGTACTTTTGAATACAATTCAGCTTTCTAGAAACAAATGAACCGTTTAAAATAAAGATTTAAAAATATTACATAACTAATATTGTTTGCCAGATTTTGATTTTATAGTTTGGTGTCAGATATAATATATTTTCGTTTTATTAATTGATATTTAGCTATAATGCGTTCATTTTGGCTTTAAATTTAATATATTTTTTTAGATTAAAACTTAAATCTCCTCTCTGTTACAAGAAATTCAAATTTACAGATTTTTAACTTTCAAAATTATCATATTATAGTTATACTTAAACCTAAAAGTTTTTTTTTCTGTTTTTACATCGATACTCATTTGTTTTAATTTTGATACCCAACAATTTACTCGTATGTGCTAAGTGATCATTACTAAGCATCAGAAATTTATATGAATAGTATAATTAATAAATTTAGTTGTGTAAAAATAACTGCACATTTAATATATAGTATGCTTAATTACTGTTAAGTATTTTGATAACACTTCGTTTTGAGTATAAATTAAAAATTTATAACTTTTTTTAAATATGTTTATTTAGTTTACTTTTAGTTTGTATATAATGACTGGTTAATGTGTGTGGTTGTACGAATATTATGAAATTGTGATTTATAATGTAGATAATTACATTGTTTGAACACGTATTTATTTATTGAGTTCTCATAAATTAATACATTTTATATAGATTATAATCATTAAACAGTGAAAAATTTACGATTTTAATGAAAAAATAAATATTTAAAAACTAAAATGTCAATTAAAATAAATTATAATTATTATATCTTGATGGACGCTAAAACATAAAAACATAAATATATTTTGCATTACTAAAAATTGATAAAATTATTATTTTAAGATTAACTAATTTTTAATATGTATTAAGACGTATAATGTCGGTAAAAACCACTAATTTTGTAAGTTTACCACTGACATTCAATGTTTTTTCGATAAAAAAAAAAAAGTGTAAGTCATCATACACCAATTTATGAAACACCGAGTTGTGACTATGAAAATGGTTTTTAATTTAAAAATGGTACCTATTACAATAAATAACACAAACATTAAATTATACAATAAATAATTTATTAACACAAATAAAAACCCACAAGATAACACAAGATAAATACGCCCATGACAGATTTAAATAAAATAAAAATAAATAATTCTCTGCAACGCGACAGAGTCACACACAACTACAATAATAATTAATAACGATAATCAAAATACGGTTGTTAGAACAATGAAATAAAACTACGGTGAACTACACAGAAATAATGAATTATTGTTTGGCGGCGAGTTTGTTTAATATCGCCGAATACATTTGGTCGATGGAATTGGCGTACTTCTGGACGTCGAAACTGTTTAGGTCCGCGACGGTGCCGTTATTGGTGTAATCGCTGGCCGTGCCGTAGTTGACCGGTCCGTTGTTGACAGTGCCGACGTTGAGGATACCGTTTTTGACGTTGCTGTCTTTTATGGTACCCTTGTTGCGGTTACTGTGGTCGGAGTTTTTGACTTTCATGTTACCGTTGTTGAAATAACCGTCCTCGACCATACCTTTGCGGATGTCGTGTTTGTTGTTAGAGCCAGCGCTGACGATGTCTGCGTCGGATTCGTTGTGCCCAGAACCCGCACTGTTATCCAGCGTCACCGCGTTCTTATTCGCGTCTCCCGTGTCGGCGGAACCACTGTTACCGGAAGGTCCGTCGGCGATCGCGAGCGGTTGGCGGCGCTTGAGAGGGGGTGCGTACCCGGTGCGGTCGTTGGCGGTCGAGACGGGTTCGGCGTGCCTGTCGGCCATACCACTGCCCCGAACGTCATTCCGTCCGGCATCGTTTTTGACGGATTTGACAGAATCGGTCTTGTCGCCGGTCGACGTACCGTTGACAGCGTCGCCGTACCGACGGTCCGATGAACGGTTTTTGGGCAGGTCATCGGTGCCCATCGTAACGACGGCTCCGTCGGCGGTCGGCGGAATTTCGATGTTGGCACTGTTGACCGTGCCGTTATTGACATTATAGTTTCCGATCTCGTTGTAGTTGATGGTGACGTCGTTGTTGACGATCTGAGGAGGCGCAGACCCAGTATTGCTGCCGCCGTCGGCGTATCCGACGACCTGTTCGCGATAGCTTTCGCCCGCCGTCGTCGGCGCCGCGACGTCGATCTGACACAGTTCCTTGTTGTCCTCCACTATGGTGGTCACCGATTCGTACACTTTGGACGAGTCGTCGGACTGCGTGACCGCCTCGTACTCGTAAACGTCCTCGTGGTACTCGTCCGTATACTGGGTAATCACCTCGGTGATCTTGGTGATGGCCGTGCGCACGGACGTGTAGCCGTCGCCGAGCGGTTCTCGGACCGAGTTGAGCACCAACAGCTGGTCGACGGCCACGCACTTGAGCCCGTCGTGGCACGCTTGCTTGAGCAGCGCCAGTTCTGCGTCCGACAAGTTTTCTGGCGATTTGTCGGTCGCGACGTCGTTCAACCCCTGCGGCGCGTTGATCGTCAACGACCGTTTCTTGATCTCCGTCCAAATGCTCGAGCTCTGTATGGCCATCACGTACTTCAAGTTGGACGATCGGTCGTCCGTGGCCAAGATCTGTCTCGTCTCTTCGTATTGGCCTTCGATTTGGTCTTCTTCGACGAGGGTCATCTGCAACGCCGGTGACGATTCGGTCGAACGGCCGAGCACCGCGGTGGTCGCGGCCAACGCCGACGCTAACATAAACGCGAACAACATTTTCGGTGTTTTGAATATAAAAGATTATCGAAATAGGTAGGTAGGTACGTGTGGTTGAGTACCTACTGATCGTTAAGTATTGAGAATACGAGTCGACGTCTGTTTTTTTCTAATGAGGACGATTCGAACCAGATTAATTAAACACTACTTGTAAGTTTGCACAGCTGGTTTCAAGTTTTTCGCAATTTGATCAAAACAACGCAAAATACGTTTTGTAACTTGTTTAAAAGACTAAGCTAGATGCCGACCTATAAAACGTAAACCTACAACGTTATTTGATGTGTATCTCGTTCGTTGCAGTGTGTGTTCGACGGACTAATGAAAAATATTATTTATTCTCAAATCGTTAAGGATGTTCTTCGTCTGCTTTAATAGTTAATTTTGGATTTCTACGTTATTAATACTCAATCTCGTATAATTGCAGTATATAAAAACATTCAATTAACACCATCTATAGACAATATTGTCTCAATTTGAAATATTGTGTTCTTTATTTTGTTTTAAATTTGTTCTAGTAATATACCTACTTAAATGGAACAGCCTTTTTATCCTAATGGTTTCACCATTTTGAATATCTTAATTTTCTTCAACAAACACGAGAAAACGCTAAACACTATTATAGCGATAGTGTCCTTATAAGATATAGTTCCATACATGACAGGTATTTCTATATAAACACGTAAACAAATAATTAATGACGAAACTATACGGATTAAGATACACTTAAATACAATGCGCGAGTATTTATTTTGTTAACACAAAAAATAACTTTTATTTTAGGGTAAGATGTTTAGACACTAAAACTTTATGTGGATGAAAGTAACGTGTGTTAAAGTAGAAACGGTAAAAACTAAAAGTTACCCCGAGCACGTATTTACATAACACATTTGAAACAATCTACGAACCCTTTCTCTTATCTATTTGGTAAAACCCTATTTGTTTAACTTGGATGAATATCGTAAATAATTTTTTTTTTTTGGTAGGTAGTTTATACTGCATATATCATAGTGCAATATAAATTAAATAGTATAGTACATACCATAAGGTGTATAATACTGCTAATAAAATATATTGAAAATTTAATACATCTTCACCTCATGCCTAAGATACAATTTTGATAAAATGTGTGCATTAAAATAGATTTTATGTATGTTATGTTTTTTTGAATTTATAGTGGCCACTAGATAACAACTAATAAAGTCAGTTAAATATTTTATGTTCTGCAGTTTATCAAACAAAATAAATATTAACTTGTTACCATTGGTATTAAGTAGCGCACTAGACGTAACTTGATCGTAATTGTAACTATTAATTAATACTAAACGATTGTACGAACACGGACATGTAATGGCGGAGCTTGATCTAAAACATGACGTGGCCTTATACAATTTTCTAGTTCGAAAACAGTTTTTAGTTTATTAGTTATAACAGTATAACACATTACCTACTTTGTAAAATAAAAGAAATGTTCAATTTCTTGGAAAATAATCAACTATATTTCGTTTATGTCATTGACATACTCGTATACCTAAAATCGTGGCCTTTGCCGAAGAGATGAATATTTAAGTAAATTCTAGGTAATAAATTTTAATTTCAATAGTTAATTATTAGTTGTTTTTTTGAGTATATGGTTTAAAACATCTATTAAATAGTTAGATGTAATATGTAAATTATTTAAAATTAAAATCTATAAAATTAATCAAAATTCATTGACGACGTACATTGTCACATTGTTGAATCTTTGAGATATAATATATTATACAATAATCACTAATTAATAACTGTTAAAAAAATAATCTTTAAGTAAACATGGTTTTATTTTCCTTCATTAGTTAAATCGTTTTAAAGTGAAATATTTATGACAATGTAAACATAACTTACAAACTATAGTATAACTAATGTAGGTAGGAACAAAGTTTATTTTACTTAGAAGTTAGAAGATCTTAATTAATAAATGTATTATATTTGCACTTCTAACTTTAAGTCTCTTAATAGTTTCAATCTTTAAAGTGTAAAGTTGACATTAATCTATTGCTAAAAAATATTATTAAATATTTTATAAACGTTAAGTCTCTATTGATAGCAATAGCCAAGGATTCAAATGCATGCAATTTTTTTCTTTTATGTTTTTGTTAAAAAAAATAGACTATAAAAATGACCATTAATTGTTCTTATTTGCTGATAAATATTGAATAATTTATTAATAAACTTTTATATAAGCTTAGCTAATACTTAAAACCATATTGCATACTCACTAAACTACATTATTTATTTTTATAATTTTTATTTTTATTTCTATATGACTTATAAAATAATATTAATAATGAATACAACAGATTTGATAGATTATAAAAACCAGGTACATAAAAACAAAGACCTAATTCATGATTACAATTAGAATTAATATTTTCTCTAGTACCGTAAAAATCTGTAATAATGAAATGAAATTAATTTAAATTATTTTTTATATTGTAATTAATATTATACGTGTCTTTCTTTTTTATGTTTGTTTAGTTACAACATAAACAAATAACTATATTATAACGCAAGTGTTTATTTCGTAATATTTTGTATTATAACTATTTAATAAAAAAAAAAAAGTTGTTATTTAGTTAATTTAGAGAGTTTTAAAAATTATGAATATTATTTGTTTATATGTAATTAAATACAATATATAACTATGATAAAAAGTTACATTTATTGTTACAGTTGGATAAGTATTATGTATAAAATACGGATATAAAAATTTGTACAGCAAAAAAACAGTATAACTTTTCAGTGGAAAATTCCTTAGTCCTTTTTTTCTTATAATGAATATTTAAGTGAGTATAATTACGTTTCTTGATAAAAAATATTATAAAAACTCAATTTGAATTCTATAATAAAATTAACAAATAATATTATTTTAGTATTTTATGTTTTAAAATACCAAAAGAAAATTCACCGGTAGAATGAATTAAAATAAACTAAACCATTACATTTTACTTCGTAAGTCATAATATTAAACATTTAAGAAATAGCTATAAAACAAAAGAAACTAATTAACTATGAAAAAACGTACAATACATTTTTAGAATAATATAAATATTTATTTTTTTTTAATTAAATTATTTATTAATTAAAATAATACTTTATAATTTGTTATCAATTTATTTTTAATAATATATCATAGTTTATCTGCAGAAAATATTTGTACGGACTACATAACTAGACTAAATACGTCTTACATAGTTTACCAACTGTTACACCATTATACTTTATTTTATTGTTTAATAAATTTGGTTTTGAGTACACATCGTATTCTGTTCTGAAATACAAATGTAACATTAAATTTTAATAATTTCACTATAAATCTCCAATAAAAATATTTTCAAATTTACAACAAAAAAAAAACGATAGTGCTTATTGTAAAAAAAAAAAGTAAAGACGTAAAATCCCTAAAATAAATAGGAATTCAGGATAAAGAATTTATTTTGAATACTATAATCTGAGCGAATATCTGAGGGTTAAAATTTCAACACCAAACTTCTAGATATCCGTTATCGGGACGTGTGTCGCTTCTGTACAATATATCTTATATATATTAAACGTATTATTTATATATATATATATTACTACGTGTGTGCACTCGTGTTCTGTCTTCAAATAATATTTGATAGCAATGATAAATCATTGAATTTAAAAACCAATTCGATGAATAAGCTTGGTTAGGTTAGGGTAGACGTTTTCAAGTTTTTAAGTAGGTACTCATAAAAAGAATTAATTAGAAAATATTTTCTACATTAATTGAATAGAGCAGGTGAATAATGAATATAAATTATAATGCGTATCTTATTTGTGTAGTATATAATTAAAACTCTGAAACGCAAAACTGAACCAAAACAACAAATAAAATATTGTCTATAGCCTATAAGTTTACCTACTTATATAGGATTTACTAGTTAAATAAATCTTAAAATTACTTATTAATAAAAATAATGTATTATGTAAAACAAAAAAGTTTAAACTAATAACAATAATGATACATATTTTATCGTAAAAAAAATTTAATATTGTAGAAATTATAATGTAAATTATGTCTAAATGTAACAAGAAATCTAACATGTATACTTGTATGAAAATGTTAAATTTTAAATACAATAGCAGTTTTTATTTTATTTATTTGCAATCAAGTATATACGATAGAAATAAATTTCCAAATTTAAACAAGTTAAGAAAATTAGAAATCTAAATAAAAAATAATACGAGAGCAACCTTATATATTATTTACATGATTATATTATGGAAAACTTATGAATTTTAACTATTTCTTTTGAATAAAAATAATTAGAGTGTGATTTATACTTTGAGTAATAATGACAATATAAGTAATAGTTATTTTTATACATTGGTTCATGAATTCAATACTAAAATGCAAATAAATTCTGAATATTAAAATAGACCATCAAATACACGGCTCAATAAAAACAAAGTATTCATGTTAATGAAAGTTCTTCTCATTATTATTATTATTATTATTAAATATGACTTAATTTAATTTTAAAAATTATTCATATCGATTACATCATTTGCAACATGCATCCATAAGATATAAATAATTATTAAAACAATAACAAGACTAATATTACCTAATATTATACTATATGTAATAAACATATTTTTATGAAAATACTTACATGAAAAGACGAAGTACATAAAATTAAACATTCAAATACCATTTTACCTTTTTACAACATATAACAATAATATTAAATTTAAAAACTAGGTCATCCACTTTTCTCTTTCGATGTCAAGATTAAATTAAGTCAATAAAAAAAAAAAAAAATAAATAAATAAAAATATTAATATTTATTATTTGATTTTGTTTTAAGGAAATAAATATGATGGGTTTTTAAAAAAAAATTAATTAAAAAATTTGACTAAAAACCATTTGAAAACTACTGAATGAGAATTAATGAGATCAAATATATTTAAATAACAATTATAAAATAATAATAAAAAAAAAAACTACACATAATAACTGCACAAAAAATGCGTGTAAAATTAAATACCTTAATCTAACAATATTT